ATAGTTTTTCTTCAGCATAGGCTGTTGTGATCAGACCAAGAAATATCCGTGTTTTTAGTAACACATTATGATAATTGTGAGTGCTTATTCCTAATTAGTCTAAATGTCTAATAATTTTCAGCTTGCTTCTCTGGCTGCTTAGTAGAAAAAAGAGTAATATGTAAAGCTACAGTGTGTCTTTGGGCTTTTAAAAATATGAATGTACACACACATGTATATTTCAGTAAGCTTTCCACCTAGCAGGATGATATGTCAGTTGACTCATTCATTAACCAAGTATTTTATCCTTCAATATCATTTCCTGGTCTTCAGACATCACATCATTTGTATATGTAAAAACTGTTGCCAGATATGGTACTATATGTATAGCTAAACTCAACCTGACAATCCAGATTCTTCAATACTCAACACTGAACCTATCTTTACTTTTCAAAAAAGGCTTTAAAATATGAGGATTTCTATTAGATCAGTGTGGCAACATACTTGCTGATGAAAGATTGTATTTACCATTTTGAATTGCTATTGAAAATAATTGCCTCTACAAAAGGAAACATCTGTATGATAGCACATGGTTAAAGCTGCCATCAATTTTTAACATTTGAGGGTTGAGCTATGACCTTTTATGATGACTGTGAACAGTAACTGCCTCCATTAGCCATAAGTTTTGTTTCTTTATTTTAGTAGATGGCCTAGACTGTAAATATTAGAGAATCTAAAATAAATCAACATATTATCCTAAGGATACAAAATGTAAGAGCTATTTGTGGTTGGGAACCTTTGACAGATAGTTTGGATGAAGCAGATGATTGCCTGCCTAGCGTATCTGGTCTCCATTGCTATGCCTGCAGGCAGTTTAGTGCTATGGTTGTATATTGATGTCAGGGTTAGTACTGAGTGGCTAGCAGTGACAGATGTCTATAATTACAGGCAATGCTTCCAGTATTTCTGAAAAGCCAGCCTATGTTGAACAATTATCTTATTTCTGCCTTGCCAAAGAGCATGTTCCAATTGCTAGTATTAGCAATGGTGAATATAGTGCTTCATCTGCTGCCTTGGGACAAATGTGGGAAAAGCACTTGGTTATAAAACATAAATGCAAAATATTTTTTCAGCATTTTGAATTAGTTAAGTTCAGTGTGTTTTCCTAATTTTTATCTCCCCATAACATGTCTCTGTTGAAGGAATCTTGAAATATAAAAGCACATTTGGTATACTTTTTGAGATTTTGTTTTCCCCTAGGCCTGCACGGCTCCCCAGCGCCAGTATCCCTTGTTTACTGAATAGATGTGTTTAAGTAAAGTTGGCTTTGAAACAACTTTCTTCAATGTGAATTCCATTTTCTGATTGACTTCTGTTACAAAATTGGAAGTGCATTTCAGTGGACAATCTCCCACACCTTTTGATGAGGAAAATTGTAGGAAAACGATAGGCAGTGCTGAAATTTGCAAAACACCTTAGTACACTGGTGTGTTCACATTTGCTGAGACTTGCAATTCTCAATTTTTGTTTTAACCCTTTCTTTTCAGCCTTCAACCACTCATTGTCCTTTCCTGTCTCTAAGTGTTCACCACCACTTGCTTCCACACTCCCTCTTGACCCACTTTCCTGACTCATTAGAAATGTTTTCGTGCTTTATGGTCCGAGTTCTCGACTGTCCTTTTTGTTCTGGGCATTGCTCTGAGTGCGTGTCCTGGGCATGTGAGACATGGGCTGTACTCCCACACTCCCCAGCCAGAGTAGCTGCCTCACACAGTACTCTCCAACCCTGCCATTCCTGAAATCCCTAAAAGTTCTAGGCACTGGGTGTTAAAACATTGTCCATGCTCTAAGTTACAAATTCTGTATTTTCAGGTAATGTAGAATGAGAAATGCCTAGGAAATATCAGTTGATGATATGTACTATCTTCAACCTGACTCTAACCTGTGTTGGGTTTCTACTTTTGTGCTTAACCACTCTGTGGAGTTACTCATTACATTTTCTCATGGAGTCTTCTCAGCAGTGTTTCACTTAGTAGGTATGATTACCTTCATTTTACAGAATAGTTAAAAGATTTCAGGAAGGTTTAAAGGCTTGTTCAGTGACCAACCCTGGGTTTGACCAAATCATCCTACTCTAAATCCAAGTTTGCTTTCCACTCTATCACATTGCCTGTGTGTGTATTTAGGCATGAGTTTAGGCATATGCTCCGTTTTAACTGTAATGATGAATGATAAAACGAACATCACAAGTTTTATCCCCATCTTTGCTGTTTCATTTCCCAAGGAAAAAAACTCATCTCTACAGCCACAGATTGGACCTCTCATCCTGGCTAGCCATCAGTCACAAGAGAACTGAGCTAGTTCTAGATCCTAGATATTTGATATAATCCTTCCTACTATATAAGAAACAACTCACTCCGTAGTCTAGTGTCAGAGACCAATATTGTATTCATGAATGAAAGGCAGCCCCTGTCGGTTCTTACTGAGCCGACCACACAAAAACCCTTTTGATAATTTAAAACTCTTACGATGGTGTTCTGGAACCCTTTCTCTGTGTGCATTAATTTAGCAAAGAAAACTTAGAGAATTGATTGGACTCACTGATCTGAATTGGGAAGACTTGGATAATTTATTGGCCCCAAGGCTGTAAATCATCTACTTCCCCAGTGAGTTGAGAACTTACCCTGGAAATAGGAAACAGGAACTTGCGATGACTCAAAAAAGGAAGATGAGGGCTTTGAAATCAAGAACTTAAGCAATGGGGTGGGGGGGGTGCCTGGGTGGCTCAGTCATTAAGCGTCTGCCTTCGGCTCAGGTCATGATCCCAGAGTCCGGGGATTGAGCCCCGCATCGGGCTCCCTGCTTGGTGGGAAGCCTGCTTCTCCCTCTCCCACTCCCCTCTGCTTGTGTTCCTGCTCTCCCTCTCTCTCTCTCTCTCTGTCAAATAAATAAATAAAATCTTTAAAAAAAAAAAAAAGAACTTAAGCAATGCAGATGAGCCCTTGAGATAAAACATCACCTGTTACCACAGAACATTCTGTTTTCCTACTCTCTCCTCTCACGTTGCTTCTCTGTTGCTCCTCTTGGAAGATAGAAGATTAGGAGTTAGGCTGCCTTTCATTAGGGCTCTCTCCCCTCTAATCACTCTGTAACCATTATTAAAGCTACACACATACCAACTTACAACGTAGATCTACTTTCCAGCATCTAGTCCAGATAAAGCACAAAGAAAAGGGACTGTCCATCTTGGTGCATGCCTCATAATCTTAAAGTCAGACTAATGTTTGATTAGGTGTTACTTAATAATAGTGGCTATTTACTGGCCACCTGTTCTGAGGACGAATAGCTAGTGTTTATTTGGTGCTTACTGTGTACTAAAAACTTTCCAAGTGCTTCTGACACAATGCTGGCAGTGCTATAGCATGTTATGACAACAATAATAACAATTAGTACTTAATGGAAATTTTACTCTGTGCCAGGACTGTTCTGAGTGCTTTGCATGAATTAACTACTCTAATCCTCTCAAAATTTTCATAAATTAGTCCTACTATCATTCTCATTTTTTTATTCAAGAAAACTGAGATTTAGAGGGTAAGGAACTTGATCAAAATCACTCAGTAAGTGGTAGAATCCAACTAGTCTTGGGCTTCAGACTAGGTCTTAACCAGTTCACTAGACTCCTAATTTGTGCTAGCAAGTACTGTGCTAGGCTAGCAAGTAGCAGAGTCTCACTCAAAACCCCTCGTGTCTTATACTACATACATATTTTGTGTTTCCTCCAAGGTGAATTTACCAAAAATACATAAGCAATTAACTTGCCCATTTCTGTTTTACTGAGAGAAGAAGATGCTTTCTGAGTAACTGCATATTGTCTTGGTTGAGGTTTTGCATATGTTTTAGCTAATTTTCAATGTGGAGAAGTGTTCAGTAGGAAGACTAAGATGGAAGCAGGACTAACGTGTTTCCCCAGATACTGCCTACCCAGAGAAACCTGGTATTAGAGTTCAAAGGCATTAACAGGCCACCAGAAGGTGAACCCTGATCGCTTGCATTTGGAGTAGGTTAAAGTTTTCACTAACTAGGCTAGCGTGCAGGACAGAGAGTGAAAGGCAAAACAGATTATAGGAACAATATTTTTGAGTCAAATTTGAGAATGTAAAGAAAAAAAATGAACCTAATGACCATAGCTGATTTGACAGAGTAGTACAAATGTAGCTGATGTGATTGACACCCCTTTTTCCATTCTGTGGGCCATTATTCCTCTACTCTTTATGTCAGGTTGTTCTTTCCAGAGAGAGTTGAGAGTCTCTTAGGAGGAAAGTAAAGAAGTTGCTTTGGATGTGGAAAATGGGACATGTTTCAGAGAGGCAATGTGGAGACAGAAATGGAATATGAATAGGTAACGTGTATGAATAAAATAAAGATGTTAGAAGTGGAGATGGGGACCTGGTAAAGTCTTAATGCCTACTGTAACTATAATTTGTGTGTTTTAGAGTAGAGGATTTAGGGGAGAGTGTGTGGCAAGAATTAGATTAAGTGGTAGAAGACTGTATGATATACTTACCTTCTGAATAAATGAGTTCCATTTATTAAAAACGTACTCTTACCCATGAAGAGGTGACTCGGCCTACTTAAATCCTTAGCCCCAGTTGCCGCACTTGCATAATGAGAGTGCCTCATGAGCAACAACAGTCCTAAGAGATTCTTAAAAATAGTTCTGTCAAGGATTATTTATAATTTGTTCTTTTCTAGGGCTATCCTTTAGTAATTAGTTTCTTGAATTATTCCACAGAAGCAAACCCATTGTGTAATCTATATAACCACATCCAGGCTTTGAACAGCACTTCACCATTGTCTTTGCTTATAGCTTCCAGCATATAATCAGAGTCCCCAGAGCATTTTAAGTGACAGCCACAAAGATCCTGAGCCATATCCTCTCTATATCTGAAGTTGGGAAGGTCTTCTGCTCCTCCCTTATCCCTAATGTCAGGTGCCAGGTCCCTAAACTCTGTGCTTTTTAGGTTGTACACCTGAGGAGTGATGTGTCGAGAGTTCCAGAGAAGGCTTGGAAAATAGTTAAGGTGAGTTGAGTTGCTGGTTGTTGTGGTGGATCATCAGTCTTTATGCTTGTCTCACCACAGCCCCAGATTCTTATTACTAAAGTAGGTACATGCTCACAGTGGTAAGTGTAGGGGTGCCTTGTCTGGATTCCCTTTTTATGCACTTTATAACCCTACAGTATGCATGTTTTATAACCAAATGTTCAACCATCAGCTAGTAAGTGGTATTAACTGCAGAGACTCTGCTTAGCTTGAATGCCTAGTACAAGAGCAGCCTGGGTTTCTCGATTACAACATTTCTGAAGTGGCCAGTTCTAACCAGTTATTCATACCTGAAAGGAGAAAGGAAGTTTTCTTTGGCTACATTGAATAGCATCTGTTATTGAAGGGTATCTACAATACGTGTATCCCTTATGCCAGAGTATGCTTCTTATGGACACCTTTGAGAGGGATGAGGGATTATAGTAAAAAAAAAAAAAAAAATCTTTTATGTCCCAGTTCCCCACCTCTACCCTCACCCTATCACAAATTTCATCCAGCATCAACTTCTTTCCTCCAAAATCTAATCATGATATAAATTTGCTATTGCAAAGGACTATAAATAAAATGCCTGAAATTCCCCCTTTAAACCATGGTCTCAGAATCTTCCACCAGAATTAGGCAAGCCTTCTTCTAGTAGCCTCGTGCCATAGCCATGGTTAGCTTCTCGCTGTATGAGCTTGGGAAGATAATAATATTTACCCAGTGCCTTCCCATGGTTTTAGCCACAGAAGACTAGTCCAACAGAAGCTTGGCCCCAGACATGGAGTGAGTTGGCAGCCAGCAGGAGCAAAGCTGTGTCAGGACAAATGTACACTCCCCATCTTCTCTAGTTGGCTTTCAGCTGGTTGCACCACGGGAGTCTTTCTATGGGCTGTGTATCCTGTGACCAATAACTGGTGCACTCGACCCGGGTCCCTCTTGGCTAGTGAAGGCCTGTCGGGAGACATTAGGTTCATGCTGGTGGAGATCCTTAGTCAGTGGCTCCCTGAAGGAAAATGAGGCAAACAGCCAGCTTCTGTTGAACAGGTGGTAGTTAGACCTTAGATTTGGTCGGGCCCGGGGGCGGGGGGCGGGGGGGTTGGGGCGGGGACAGGAGGCAGAGAAAGAATCTCTCCAAAATTACCAGTATTGCTGGTTTTCACACTGTACCTGTACTCCTCTTTCAAATAAATAATTGTTTAGAAACGAATCCAAAAATATCTCTGGCAGCATCTGGAGCCCTTCCTTAGCAGTCTGGATTTGGGCCCAAGTTAGGAATGGAAACCCCACTGGGGTGCAAGCAAAAGAGGAAGCATGTTCTTAGCCATGCATCAGTGGAGGCCCCTACTGGGAGAGGGGATTATCACAAGGCAGCAGGCGGCCCTGCACCCCAGCCTGCTGAGTTCATGCTTTGTGCCACAGGATGTGGAGCGAAGGAAATGCGAGGCCAAAGTGGTCGCTCCAAGTTCTCTGATACAATGGCTCATTCAAGCAGATTGGGAATGCCTCTTAAGAGATTTGTTAGGTACATGTCCCCTTAGCAAGATGGCCACCACAGATGGTGGGTTCGATATAATAATTAAAATAAACATTTAACATTCATATTTATTTTGCACTTCCATAGTCAGCTTTTCTTTTATCAGTTGCCATTTCTGTATTCCACTGAATGAGGCAAGCAGAATTCTAACCTTTTACCAATTGGTTTCCATCATTAGCTATGGTTTTAAAATTAAATTCTGGCAAAAGATTTTTTTTACCTAATTTTGGTCTTATATTTTGTGATGCTACTTTACATGGTATGGAAAAATTAATCAGCCAAGATTAACGTGTATCTATCCAGTAGCACTAAGTTTCTGTATTTAGTATGAAGCAATGATATTTGTACCATTATGTCTTTTGATGTGGTCATAAGTTAATTGTGATGATCATGTTTTATTCTGCTTCAAGCATTAATGAAAGACCGCAGTATCTTTAGTTCCAAATGGTTTAGATCCAAGTCATTAAATCCTCTATTCCCTTTTACACCTCTCCTTCTCCCCCCACCCAACCCCCACCTTTCACTTCAGTGGGTCTCTTTTATAGAAAGCAGTGCATTGACGTCAGGGGCACTTGGAGCCTAAGACAAAAATATGAAAATTGGTTTCTTATTCGTAATAAGTAATATCACACTAAGTTCCAAAATTCTTTTCCTAAGGAATGTTATTGCTTTCACTATATTGAATTCTTTCTGGTGACAGGTTTTGTTTTACCAAATTACAACCAGTTAAAAATCTTGATAAATCATGTCAGCAGATTGAAACAATACTTTAAAATGTACAACAATTATAGGGATTTTTAAAATTTTTGCGGTATCAATTTTGTACTAGGTGCAAATTTTGAAGAATAAATTGGTTCAGGAAAGTATATCATCTGATGGCAGACTACTTTGTTGTTGATTTCCACAGCACTGCTAATTTTCTGCATTGAGCCTGCTTACAAAAGCTCTTTGAGAAGTTATAACATCTTAAACATTTATAGAAGGCCTAAGGGTATTAACTTACTGTAATTTTCTGAAGATTCATTATCCAAAATCTTAATTCATTATAACAACTCTTATGAAAACCTATAGAACCAGTGTTTTCTCTTATTTTCTTATTTGCACAGAATGAGAGATTCATTGTTCTTTTTAATTTGTTTCATGTGGTGCTTTTGAGTACATTTCATAGAGGGCTGTTATTGAATTTCTGTGACTGTCATTATATATCCATACAACCTTTAGGAACTAATATTCTGGGTTTCCCAGTTCTGTAATCTACTTCAAATTTAAGGATTGACATAATTAGTTTCTTCAAAGTTATAACCAGAATGTTAGAGACAACACTGCAGATACCCGAGACCAGGAATTAGGGTTGGAAAAAGAGAGCAATTTAAAAAATTATCATAGCACATGCTTTTATTCTTTATTAAATTAAATTTACAACTCAAAATCTTACTGCTATTTGTATGCTTATTCCTTGTCTGGTTTTCTTATCTTGTCTGGTTTCCCTTTAAAAAGCCAGATACAAGATCACTTAAGCTACCTGCCTGTGCACGGGCAATATTTGTCATTTGGTTAGTTGAGAAGTTAGAGGACGTATGGGTTGTTGAAGCGTTATGTACATACCCAAGTGCTCCTTTCTGAAATTGAAAAGTAAAATAAGCAGAGTCAAATAAACAGAGATAAGAAAACAAACCATACTATAAAACAGTTTTTTAGGACCGTGCCTTCTCAAATCTATAATAATGATGATTCCTTGCATTTTTAACAACTTTCTGTATTTCAAGAGCTAGAGAGATGGATCAGTGGTTAAAATGGATAATTTTTTTAGCTTCTAAGATAATAGCTATGTAGAAGTAGAAAAAAATGCAGTTTTGTAGCATGAAATTTTGAAGCTTTATGGCCTTTAACAAATACCATTTCTGACCATGATTAGAGTGGGAGAATTGACTGAATATATATGTAAAGATTTCAAAGTTAGTACAGATTTAAGGTTTTGTTTGTTTTAACTTTATCTGTGCAGTGTGGAAATCTTCGAGGTAAGCACCCTCTTACTCTTCTGTTATTTTTTATGTAATGAGCCTTCTCTTGAAACGGTATTAGCTGCCAGTTTTTAAAACCTACTCTGAGAAAGGGTCCATCAGAAAAGCAGCATTTGTTGATAACTACTAAATGCCAAGCTCTGTTAGGTATCATCATTTCATCTGCCCAAAAGCCATTAAGTAGGTATTATTATTATTCCTGTTTTACAGGTAGGAAACCAAAATTCGGAGACTTTAACCTAGTTAGTGGCAGATCCAGAATTCAAATCCAGATATCTTTGGGACCAAAGCCCTTCTACATTGCTAAGTTTATCAAGGCAACGTTCTAATTTCTTCTGGAGATGTTAAAAAAAATAAATATTTCCCTGCCATCAGGCAGCACATGCTTGAAATATTTGAGGAAAGACATATGCACGTGGAAAATTAATACTACAGCAAAATTGTATTCTGTTGTCTGATATGGGATGTGCCACTAACGGGCTGGCCAACAGTGTATATCTCCGTATCAAGGGAGAGGAACTGCATCTATAGGGAGAGCTTCTTCCAGAAATATTGTTTAAGCATTAACACCACATCTTTTTAAATAATGAAATTTTACTAAGGTTACTTCTGGTGAATAGAATTCTGATATTATTTTCACAGAGAAAAAGTTCTGTGCAAAAACCGTACCTTTTATGGGTTGTTTTCCTTTTGTTAAAAAATTGTGAAAGAAATGAAATCAGCCAAAATGTGCATTTTAACATTACATTCATTTTTTTATTCATTTAATAAATATTTATCGAGTATTAGGTATGGGAGATAAAAGAACATGATCTCTGCCCTCAGGGAGCTTATAGTCTAATAGAGAAATACAGGCATATTAAAAAAAAAAAAAAAAGGGTGGGAGGAGGGCACAGATGGCCAGGCAAAACTAGCTTGTAATGAGTGCACATCCAGTTATGTGAAACACATAACCAAAGGCATAGCCATTTTCAACTTCACTGTATCCCTCAGAGAAGAATGGACAACATACATGAGCTTAGTATCTTATTTCTTAAATCTTTGCTTATTTTTCATAATGATCTAATTATCTTAACTGATTCTGAAATAAAAAATTAGGAATCTATGAACTAAAGGAAGGTTTGGTTTTTTTTTTCCCCTTCTTGCATTCCTATGCCAACTTCTGTATCCTTCCTTAAAATGAGTATTGTGATGTAGTTTCTTCTTGCTGTAATAAAAATTTTTTCGGTGAAGTGATAGAAGTTTTAGAAAATGTTGAAAACCCCTAAATATTGTGTTAGAATTTTTCCTGTAGAAAGCCTTCATTGACTTGGGGACAGACTGCTTCCCACCCCCAAATTATATATGTCTATGGTATAATGAAATTCCAAATGTTTGAAGACATTTTCGTATCATCTGCATGCTCTCTGAATGATAAGGTGCCTTGGAAAATGTGAGACAGTCTTTTAAAAGAAATGCAGTAATCATACATTGATTTTAAATGACCCTGTCACACGTGAAAACAAATCAGATTGTTGCTCTTAATGAGCTTTTCAATTTACTATTCAGTAGATCAGATAAGTGGATTTAAGAGGTAATGATCCTGTTTAGTACTCAAGCTTGACTGTCAGATCCTAGTAGTGGAGAGAAATCCCTTGGGACAAAAACGTTGACACAGTTCTAGATGGGATAATGGGAATCAAAGCTAATGGATGATAAAAGGAATGGTGCAAGTTACAAGGATAATTGTGGATTAAAGCACTGCCATGTGTCAATGTTGACTGTTTTTTCTAATATCTTATTGGGTCAAATCTGGTGCTCTGAGAAACTGTTTTGACAGCAGAGCACAACAGACCTGCCTGCCTAGCTTCCTCCTTTCTGGAAGCCAGGGACACCACAGAAAACTTCCTTGTAAGAACTACCAATTTAAAAAAGATATTTTTTAAATGTTAAAATGTCTTGAATGTTTAAAATCACATTTTAGTTATTATATTTTTATTATTCAGTGTGGCTTGGGTAAAATCAAAATTAGATTAATTCTGAGCTATGCCATAAGAAAATAGCATTTCTAAAGCCTTGAAAATGTAAACTTTTGTTTTACAAAAATGCGGTACAGTGTAGTGGGGGAGATGGACACCCAGACAATTGCAGTGTGAAAAATACTGTGAGAGAGGGATAGACCAGACACTGTTGGAACATAAAGGAGAGTGCAACTCATTCTTCCGGGGAAGGCAGCAAAGTCTTCCGAGGAGGTGACTTTTGAATGAGAATCAAGGGGAGAGAATGAAGGCAAAATGATTCGGGCAAAATGAACAGTACATGAACTCCTAGAAATCTGAAATTGCATGAGGAGCCTCAGTTGGTCCGTCAGTATTTCATTGTGGCTTCAGATGGAGGTATGTTGGGACCAAGTTGTAAAGGGCCTCATGTGCCATGAATCATATCAATATCCGAGTTTCCAAGGGCCCAATTTACTCCCATCCATGAGAGAGGTTTCGGGTTATGCTGAGATAAGGGAAACTTCCCTTTCTACATACCAGTCTTCCTTTGAGCCTTCTCTGTGCTTAAAGGTTTCTGATCATTGAGGATTGGTGGTAACTCATTTCCCGAGATTTTCTCTCCCTGGCTCACTCTTCCCCCTAAACATCTTACTAACAGAGTGATAGCTTCAATCTAATGAGAGATGAAGGCCTACTCTCATGAGCAAAACCATAGATAGAGTAATTAAAATGCTTTTCCGTAGGGCTCAGAAATTAGCAAAAGAGTTGCAACAGGAATGTAAATCTCAACCTTCCTTTCTCTCTCCCCCAGCTTTTCCCCTCCACCTTTCTGCCCCTTCTTTCCTTCTCTTGCCCTCTCCACTTGCCCCTTCTTTTCCCTCTCTCTCTCCCACTGATTCACTACTGCCTGAGCAGCTTCTGGCTATGGGACTTAGGTTGAAAGCCCAGAACATGAGCTTCTACTTTAAATAGTGTTTAAAATCCAGATACGAAATCTCTGCGATGAACAGCCAGCCTCCCTCCCCTATATAACCCTATAGTTCTGGGTGATTTGTGGTGCCCTGTGATTTTTATCTCACCTTCATGACCTATGGCAGTATACCAAGCTGGTGTTTATATGTGAAAAGCAAAAGGCATAGGGAGTGAAAGCTAAGTTGCCATACCGTACCCTAGGAAATAGGCAGATCAGGAGAAAGTGAGAGAACACAATCACAGGGGATCAAATCACAGACGAAAAATCCCATACAGCTGGTGTCTGGCAGGGAGAACCTGGAATCACACCAGAGCATCAGGGAGTATGGAGGTGTCAACCCACCTCTCGGCTTTGCCAGGCTATTAGGGAATATTCCATTCGCTGCTGGTGGCATTTTCCCAGTTGAGGTGGGATATGTGTTTATAAGCTCAATGTGGCTTGGGTTGGGACTGAAATGTTGCACCCCAAAGTCTGCAGCCAACACTCCCTAATTGGAAGCTTAGTGGATTCCCAGGCCCTGATGTATTCAGCAGAGAATCTCTGAGCCTGGGATTTCAGTTTCAGCCTGGAAAGTAAGACCTATCTCTGTATTTGGGGGAACTTAATTGAGAGATTTTTGAGGAGAATGTCTATAAATTCTTTAATTTCCTCTTACTTTTGAAATCCTTATTTTTATAACTGACTAACATAATCCTGAATTATTTGATGGTTTGCTGATATCTGGAATAGATAGAAATTTTTTAAATGCCGGAGCCTTTTATTGAGACACTTCATTTTTTAGCCCTTTATATACATATGCCCGTCTTTGAGAAAGGGGTGGTTTACCACTTTGAGAAAAAAAATTATGTGGTGGTCTGGGAACAAAACAAGTACATGAGTGTGGGTGTGTGTTTCAAAATAAGAGAGGTACTTCCTGGAAGAAAAAGAGAGTAAATTATTAAATTATACTTTTTTAAAAAAATCCTTCATTTGCTCTCCCTACCCACTCCCTTCTTCAGTGTGGATGCGACAATGCTTTAAATCTTACATTTGTTCAATTTGAATAGTCTTTTGAAAATATATGTTAATGATAAAGCTTTTAACAGTTAAATGTTTTCATCCAGGTATATGCCCGTATGTCCGAAGTTTTAGGAATAACAGATGACAACCATGTTCTAGAAACATTCATGACGAAAATGTGAGTTCTTTGATTTTTCTTTTGTTGTTGTTGCTTTGAATGTAACAGGTATTTTTACTGTGTTTAAATCTCTTAATAATTTTAGTTTTTTAATAAAAGACCTTTTTAAATTATGCTATAATTCTCAGAATGGTAGCATTGTTCTTAATTGAAACTTAATTTCACATATTTAAAATTCACCATCCAAAAGACATTCTTATCTTTCAAGGTACCCATACAACTGCAGTATGCACCATCAAAACATGGTTTTAAAACGTGTACAGACTTTGATTCTTCAAGTCAGTTGGGCAGCATTTTTGTTTTTAATTAGAATGAAAATACCCAGTTTCAAAGACCAGCTGAAGAGATTATTGCAAACTGGAATCATTGGGAGAGGTCTGATTGCCTTAAGACAGGGCATTCATTGATTCCAGCGGGAACCTATGGCTATCGGAGACATACTCATGGAAACTTGCCTTAAATCATCCTTTATAATCTGTTAGCAGAATTAACTAGTTTCTAGTCATGGACATAATTTTGTACCTTTAGCCTGAATTTGTATGCCTCCATTTGGCAACCCACTTTTATCTGTGTAACAGGTAGATAGTACTGTGTTGCTTGCAGAGAACAAAGCTACATAAACAATCATGATCATAAGAAGTGAGTTTTGGAGCCACAAGTTTGATGGTTCATTTCTTGCTCGTTAACTGTGAGCCTCTGTTTGACTTCCTTTGTGACTCTTGCTGTCATTCCCTAATATGTTTATTTTAGATACAAACTTGATGTTTCTTCTGTGAAACAGGCAATTTTTTAATTTATAAAACTAAATTTAGAGAATTATGTACCATTCGGAGAACAATGTTCATTATACATTGATTGCATATAATTTTGATTATGCCATTAAAAAGAATAGAATAGAAAATGTTCCCCTGGTATTTAAACCTGTTTTTCAACTTCGTGAGATATTTCTGACTTAGGTGACCTAACTTATGTAAATATATGTGTATTTCCATGTTCTCTCTATACAAGCAAATACCTTACTTACAATTAAAACCATTTTTTTTTCATATTTAGTGTTACAAATCTTAAATACTGGGGAAGATGCGAGCCCGTGATTTCAAGGACTCTTCAGTTCCTAAATGATCTTTCTGTTGGATATCCTTTTTCCTGTATATCTAGTAATGTATAGAAACACCCTAACACGTGCATTCTGTTGCCCAGGTATTTTCCTTGTTCATAATGTTTGTAACTGTTTTTAATTAAAAAAAAAAAAACTTTCATTTAACCTTATCTGTAAAGTATGTTTTTGAAAGATTTATATTAGCTACCAACTATGAACATTTATCCAGAATCACAACTGAATTTATATGGATATATAGATTCCTAACTAGTTAAAGTTATGTTTATATCCATCCAGTTTAATAAATGGATACAGAAGAAAGTATGCAACCATATGTGTTTTAGTCTGTGATTTTTCTTAATTGTCAGGGAGTTCTTGTTTTAAAAGAAAGCATGTTACTAATTTGAAGAAGGTCAAGATGTTCTATAAATATTACCTTCTAAAAATTGAATTCCTGAGGGTAAATACTATAGCTTCAGTATTCTTCAATTGAAAAGAATATTATTTTGATTAGTTAAGAGGCACGAAGGAGTAATAGGAAGAAAATTATGTAAGTTTTTTTTACCACTTCTTGGATTATTGCCGCCACCAAATCAACAGCTTATTTAGTCTAAAATAAGATTTCCCATTATCCATTAAATGTTTGGGTTTCTATCTTTAGCAGATTTTTTAAATCTAAAACCAGAATCATCCTTTCTTACTATATTATAGTTAATACTATTGTCCTGTTTCTACCAGTGAGAGAGAAGCATGTAGATTGTCTTTTATATGTTAGCTATCAAATATATAGGAGTTATGAAAAATAAGTGTTGGTTTAGTTAACCACCAAGATTAGCTGATATTTAAATAAGAGGACAGCATTCTGAAAATCGGTGGCATTGTATGGAAATTTTTAATGTAGGTTTACTGCAGGAATATGTTTGTATTAGTTAAGTTTAAAATTGTGTTCCTTGGGAAACCATAAAAGATTTCCAAAGTATTAGACACCCACTTTTGTGCTGGAATTTAATATGCAACTTTTTATTGGAAAATAATCGTCCTTGTCTGGCAAAATCCACCATGCAATATTTCTGTTAGTAGGTATAATGTAATAAAGACAGAGAGGGCTATTTATCACTACAAATTTTGAGGATTTCAGGATTCTTTTTATTATTTTAATATATTTCTTTGATATTAAATCAGAAAAATGATAAATTACACCTGTCCAGGCTGTTTTTCCTTTTTACTGGAAAGTGATGTACAACCCAATTCCAGTGGTCATTTTGGCTTTTTAAGATATGTATTTTTTCTTATTAAAAAAAAACTCAACCTGTATTTTTTTTTCAATAATAATGCTGAAATACTCTTTATTTCTAACATATGAAGTGGTTTATAAGTACTTCCTAGTCTTGCAAACTCTGGCCTTTTCACAGTGAATTACTTTGAGAGCATATTATCTGGAAGGAAGCCGGTGTTATTTTATAGCACGTATCTATTGTTTATATTTACCCTATTTTTTAGGTTGGAATTGAAATCTAATATAAAATTAATTCAATTTGTATTCTTTTTGGAATAATTTGCATAATGCCTAATTTATTTCTATCCACTATTTAAGTAAGATCCTTTTCCTATCACCTTATATCTCTTACATATTCTTTAATCCTAAAATTATAACGGTTTGTTTCATAAGCTGTTTATTGCTTTTGAACACTTCTTTTTGACGTTAATAAAAAAATCATATTTTCAGAAAACTTATTAGATAAAACTTAAAAGCTATAACATTTAAACCAAGGGATACGAATGATTTCAACTTGGGTACATTGATTTATATTTTTTAACAATTATTTCAGGTTTCCATATTTAGAAATATGTATTAGTTCAATTTGATTTCAGTGCTCAGTTATTTGAATTATAAATCATTATGTCCCTTCTAGCTGATCAGTCATGAAATATCTTTGAATTCATTTACATAATGGAATATGTGAGTAGTATGTCTATTTCAGTGCAGTTGCTGGTTACCTAATGCATGTTTTGTTGTTTCCGATCGATTTCCTTATTATAATGTGTTTTTAAATCCTGATTTTTAAAGCAATACATTATATCTGTGTTAAAAATAGGATGGACTCTTCAGCAGTAGAAACAGTTATGCAAGATAAAAATGATCACCAACTGGCCTCTATTAATGGAAATCTGTTTATATATTAATATTCCAAAATATTTGTATTTAAAATATTAGGAAGGAATAACTGAAAAGCGCCTTACTACAAAGTTTTTAAATGTTCCTGATTACTTTCTAATGCATGCCTTCAGATACTTTTCATTTCATTTTTCCTGTTTTTATCTTCTTCAGAGTGAATCCTATTCAGTGTTTCTTTATGGTTCTCAAAGCCAGTCTGGGAACTTTGGTGTTCTTCTATCTGACCACTTGTTTGGAAATTGAAATCACAAAAGATCCTCATTTTTAGGAAGTGCTGAAAAGTCTCGTGTTTACTTGCCTTAAGGTAGTAGTCTCAAACTTTAGTGATGATCAGAATCATTAGAGGGCTTGTTAGAATACACATTGCTGGACCTCACCCCCAGAGTTGATGTTTTAGGAGGTGTTAGACTGAGGCCTGAGAATTTGCATTTTCAGCAAGTTTCTGGTGATGCTGGTGGCTTAGGGGCCAAACGTGCTTTTTAAGATAATTGGAAAATAGAACTGGATATCCCAAATAAGAAAATCAGGTACCTCTCTATAGGACTTTGTCTTCACTAGGGAAATGCAGACTTGACATTTTTGGAGATAGTGTAGTTCCTCTAAATTATAATGTGTGTGAGGAGGCCATTACATTAAGTCCCCAGATTTTATTTATTTATTTTTTTTAAAGATTTTATTTATTTGACAGAGCGAGACACAGCAAGAGAGGGAACACAAGCAGGGGGAGTGGGAGAGGGAGAAGCAGGCTTCCTGCAGAGCAGGGAGCCCGATGCAGGGCTCGATCCCAGGCCCCTGGCGGGATCATGACCTGAGCCGGAGGCAGACGCTTAATGACTGAGCCACCCAGGCGCCCCAAGTCCCCAGATATTAACTGGAGAGCCTGTTGCATTTTACCCCAAGGTTTGAAGCTTTCCAAGTTGGTAAGACTACTGTAATTTTAAATCCAGTGGCCTTTTTGAGGGAAAATTTGTTTTCCCATCAGATTCATTACATGGGGCATATATAATACATTTAGCACATACATCTGAGTAACTTTTTAATAAACTCTTTAAATTTCCAAGACCAAATTTCAAGAATTTCAGATTCTAAATAGCTTTATCTAACATGTACAGAGTTGAAATGGCTCTGTCCTGGGCAGCCCTCCACATCCAGGTTTAATACTTGTGGATCCTTTTCCCTCTTTCAAATACTTTCCAATTTTTGTCTAACTGGGAAGGGGGTTTCTGTCTAGTTCTGTCTAACTGGGAAGGGGGTTTCTGTCTAGTTCTGTCTAACTGGGAA